GTGGCGCAGCGGTTAAGTTCGCACGTTCCACTTCTCAGCGGCCTGGGGTTCGCTGGTTCGGATCCCGGGTGCGGACATGGCACTGCTTGGCAGCCATGCTGTGGTAGGCGTCCCACGTATAAACTAGAGGAAGATGGGCACGGATGTTAGCTCAGAGCCAGGCTTCCTCAGCAAAAAGAGGAGGACTGGCAGTAGTTAGCTGAGGGCTAATCTTCCTCAAAAAAAAAAAAAAAAACACACAAAGTAAAATTTCAAATTTTCCAAAGGAAGCATATTTGTTCTGTTTCTTACAAGATTATTTTTAGTAAAGTCATATTTAGAGGAGAAAAAGATGATTCTGAAGACTTTTTGCAATGTGTGGACTACACTTGAATCTTCATAGGAAATTCAAATCAATTCAAAAAAATGTTTCTAGAGTACTCACTCTATGTAAAAATTTGAATGTGTTGAGATTCTAAAAACAAGTTATTACCATCAAGGAACTCTTAAGCGAAGAGGGAATGTAGACATGTACAAAACCAACAAAAATGCAATGTAAGGACCAGGCATGGTGGCCTAGTGGTTAAGTTTGGTGCGCTCCACTTCAGCGGCCCCAAATTCGGTTCCCAGGCGTGGACCTACACCACTCTGTTAGCATCCATGCTGTGCTGGTGGCCCATATATTGAAAAAAAAATAGAAGAAGCTTGGTACAGGTGTTAGCCCATGGTGAATCTTCCTCAGGAAAAAAAAATTAAAAAAATGCAATGCGAAGAGGTTGTAGGATGGAACAAAACATTGATCTGGTCCTTGAAAAATGAGGAGTGCTTATTAGCAGAAGGTGAGAAAGGAAAAGCATTTCAGGTAAAGGGTCAGATAGAAGAAAAGGCACATGGTTTCAGGCTCGGAGGGGGCAGATCCTTGCAATTGGTGCCTGGGGAATATGGCGGAAGATGCAGGAAAAGGAGAAGAGTCTAGAAAGTAAGGGTAAGTTGAGTTTTGAAGATTTTAGCATGTAGGCAACAAGGAGTCATAGAATTTTTCTATAAATACATATTTTAGAAAGATAAGTTAGTTCTTCTTTGAAGCAAATTGAAATGGACTGTGGTGATGAAGATTACATGTGTGTGGGTGAGGTACAAGTATTGGCATTTGAATATATAACTCAGATGTACAAAAAAGAGTTACTTCTTAACATCTCTGTAACTAGGATGACCATAGCATCTATTGTCCAAAGTAGAACATGCTTGACAATAAAAGGTGGGTACTTTTAATAACTATGCTGGGACAAGTGCCCTACATTGGGAGTGTCCTGGGCAAACCCAGAGGTCGAGTCACTCCATTTATGCCTCAACTAAATTTTCTTTAGTTGAAAACAAACAAGCAAATAAAACCTTGATTTGGAAATTACAACTCCGACTCACTTAAATAAAAGTCTTCTTGGTTTAAAACAATCCTTGTCAGATGAATATTTAGACAATTTAAAAGTCAAAGAATAAGAGCTAACACACATAGCGAATACTATGAGTCAGGCACTGTCCTAAGTACCTCACACATCTGAAGTCATTTAATCCTCAAACAAAAAGCTATGAGGTAGGTATTAATGTAAGTTCTCATTTTATAGGTGAAGAAATAAAGATACAGTAAGTCGAAGTGGCATGCCCAAGGCTAGCTGTTGACCTAGCAGGTGCTAGAGCCAGGATTCAAATCCAGGTCGTCTGGTACCAATATCTATGTCCCAATCTACACTACATTGCCTCTCCGACTCTAATCATGGCTTGCTTGCCTCCTAAATTTGAATTCCAGGTAAACAATGAATAACTGCTTACCATAAGTATGTCCCATGCAATGTTTGGGACAACCCTCCTCGTCCTCCCTAGCTGCTGAAGGAACTTGCATATCCTCTTTGCACAGCTTGGGTGTGGGTGTGGGCCCTGATCTCTCTGTCTTGGCCAGTACCCTTGATACCTCTGCTGCAGTGTCCTTTGTGGTTGTATAACTCATGGACTGTTCTCTCAGCAGAGCCCATTGTCTCTCAAACTAGATTCAGTTGGCCTCTAGTTGTGGTTACGCTGCCAACGCTCAGAGTCTCAGCTTCGCTCCTCCTCATCTGGAAATACCTGCTTCAATATTCATACTAACATTACAAACTTTCTGGACTGTTTTAACAATATTTAAGAATTGACCTATTTATTCTGGATTGAGCTAAAAAAGAAGCCTCAACTGAAGTGGGAAATACTTTTGTTTGCCTGTGTTTTTGAGCAATGAAAGCAAAATTCCACTATAGCACTTTATCTCACATTGTAGGTCACAAATGAACTCTATTATGCATTAGAGACTTCCAATAAGGAAAAATTTCAGGAGTTCTGTTAGCAACAACTGAAAAAACTAAGCAGTTCTTGGTTCTGTCATTGAGCTATAATTTTCCACTGACTCCCTCATTGCCTTCCATCTAAGAACACATCTTCTTATCCTACCACCCCAAAAGCAGGCAAGCAGTTTGAGTACAGCTAAAGAATTCTTGGTTCCAATTGCAGGTCTACACACAATTTTCAGAGCCTTAGTTTCCTTACTTGTAATATTCGAATAATAATAGTACCAGCCACACAAAGTTCTTTTGAAGTCCAAATGAGAAGTGGTAAGTAGAACATAAAATATTATAAATGTAATTGAAGGTTAAGTTCAAAACCCATCTTATGATTCAGGTTTTTGGTTGACTCTGGTCTGTCATGGCCCATACTGGGTACAATAGTGCCTCCTCCCCCCAAAGGATATGTCCATCTGGAACTTGTGAATGTGACCTAATTTGGAAATAGGTTGTAGACACTCAGGGATCTTGAGAAGAGATCCTTCTGGATTTACGGTGAGCCCTAAATGCAATGACAGGTTTGCTTATAAGAGAAAGGTAGAGGGAGATTTGAGACACAGAGACACGGGGAGAGGCCACGTGAGGACAGACAGACACTGGAGTTATGCTGGTACAAGCCAAGGAATGTCAGGATCAATCGGAAGCTGGAAGAGGCAAGGAAGGAGTCTGCCCTAGAGCCACTGGAGAGGCCCTGTTGACCCTTGACGTTGGACTTCTGTCTTCTAGAACTGTGAGAGAATAAATTTCTGTTGTTTTTGCCAACCAGTTGTGATAATTTGTCTCGGCAGTCTTAGGAAACTAATACAGCCCACACCCAATCCATTAGTAAATCATGACAGCTCAACCTTCAAAATATGTCCGGACCATGGACCACCTCCCCCTGACCCATTAGCTATTCTAAGCCACCATTGTCCCATTACTGGTCACCCTGCTTTAGTCCTTGAGCCCATTATAGTCATAGCCATCAGAGTGTTATTTAAAACTGAAGTCAAATCTTATCAGTCGTCTGCTCAAAACCTCCCACCTGCTTCTCATTTCTCTCACACTATAACCCAACAGCCTTATCACAGCCTCCAAGGCTAGATATGATCTGCCTCTGCGTCTCTCTGGCCTCATTTCTTACCACTCTCTCAGTCCTAGTTTCCTTGCTGTTCTGCAGACATACTAAGCACCCTACCTCAGAGCTTTTGCATGCTCTTCCTTCTGTCCAGATAACCACAGGTCTGCTTCCTTACAGGTCTCTGCTCAAATCCCACCTCCTCAGAGAAGCCTTGCACATCCATCCTATCCGAAGCAGCCTACCCCAATATATCACATCACCCTATTGATTTTCCTCAAAGTGCCCATCACAAACAGTACTTACTTTGTTTATTTTCTTGTTCATAGCCTCTCTCTCCTAAGAGAATGAATGCTCCCCAAGTGTCTCGTTCATTCTACATTTCCAGTACTAATGCTCAGTACACTGCAGTCACTAATAAATATTTGTTGAATGAAGAAACCAACAGCCTTCATAGCTATTAAGGGTGTCAACCAAAGAGGACAGAGATGGTAACTATTTTCAGCACCACCCCAAACAGCACTTTCTGGAGAGTAACCTAGACAGCCACCTCCACACATTCTCTGGGGATAGGCTAAGAGTCACCACCAAAGGGAACAACCCATTGTAGTTGCAAAGCGAGATGTGAAGTCAGGGCACAGCTAAATACCATTAACTTTTCAGTGAGGCATTTTAGAATGCTTACAACTATCAAGTCCGAGGGATATATTAATGTTAAATCTATGAGTGGATTCCTGAAGGAATTTGGGACCAACAAAAACAACAATTTTTTCTATGTTTAACACTCAGCAGTTTAAAAAGTGCTTTCATATCCCTTATTTTATTTGACTCTGTTACCTGCCTGAGTTAGAGATACCTGCCTGAGCAGATAATATAATTCTCATTTTACAGATGGGAACACGGAGACTTACCGAGGCTAAGTGACCTGTACCAGGTCACAACTGCACAACTGGCAGTCTCTGAGGGTAGTCTCAGACCCACAGCAGGACTTCTGATTTCAGATTCCCTATTTTCCCCCATTGCATTCCACTCACCGATTTATTTAATGTACACTATTGAGCACTGCCTGTTTCAGGTACTGTTTTAAGTGCAGCACGTAAGGTTAAGAAAGTTTATAATCTTTGTCTTTGGTTTTTCAATTAAAAAAAAAATGTGTACTACGTGTACCTGGGAAAAAATCAGTACAGTAGCTGCTGCCTTTTCCCCACCCCGCTAGCTCTCTTTCCTGATGCAATCGCAGTTATCTGGAAACCTTCGAAAACACCTAGGATAAGTCTTCAGTTACCAGAGCAAGGTCCTGCCTGGAGGTGGGGACTGGACTAGACCTTGGCTGGCTCATCTCCAACCCCGTGGGCGGCCGCGACACGGAAAAGTGAGCGACATCTAGTAACAGGGTGCCATTTTCGCGTGTAGGGGGTGCGGAGGGCAAAGGAGGGCAGTCCCATTGGAGAAAGCTTCCGCAGGGAGCAGCGCCCTGCCTGGGCCGGCAGAAGGATCTTTGGACCAGAACGCTCAGGTTTAACCTGGGGGCGGGGTTCCCGCGAGTGGGGCGGGGCGGGGCGGCGCGCGGCCGACGTGGCAGCCGCAGGGGCATGCGCCTCCGGTGGCCATCTTGGAGGCGGGGACGCGTGCAGGCGAGCTCCTTCCTGCAGCTTCCTCGTCGTATCCGGGTGGTAGTCTTAGCGCCGTGACCTCCCTGTCCCCCGCTTTTCGGCTGCCACGCAGACACTCTCGAGGGTCCCCAGGTGAGCGTTAGCCTGGCAGCAGCGCGGATGCCTGCAGGCGGCTGGATGGGATGCGGCTGCTGGTGCTGGGCGCCAGCGGGTTCCGTCCCTGTAGGGTGGGCGGGCCGGCGGGCCGGCGCCGCGGGATGCGAGGGTCGTGTCGGAGCCCAGCCGTAGTTCGGGCTAGGCGCGGGCGGCGGCAGCGTGCAGGCTGCGGCCGGGCAGGGGTGCACTTCGCAGGGCGCGGAGTCCCCGCCGCGGGTTGCACCGTGGGCGCGATTGACTGGTCTTGTTCGGACACTTTGCTCCTGTCCGGGGACCGAGGCCCGCGCCCCTGCCGTTCGGCTCCGCCTTCCGGCGCCCTGGCCGGAGGAGGGAGACCAGCGGCAGGCGGCCGCTGACCTTAGCCCGGCCCAGCCCGGCCTGGAGACGTGGCAGGCAGAGCCTGGGGGAGGCCGCTCCCGTCTTGCAGACTCCTGGGTCAACAAACCGGGACGGCCGGCGGGAAGCTTATTTCCCTTAGGAAGCCCGTCGGTGCCCAGCGCCGCTTCAGAGGGCTTTTGCATTCTGCCGTCTCTTTGTTCGTTCCTGGGACCTGCTTCAGGCAAATTTGCAGCATAGCTTGTGTCCTAGATTGGCAGAATTTATATCTAGGTGTGTTTTTACCATTCCAGGTAGTTAGAGAGACAACGTATATATTGTGAACATGACACATTTTGGCATTCCAGTCTTTCTTCTTAGAGCCACTGTTGAATTCCGTGAACGTTTTTGGAAGTTTATTTTGGGATCAGAGCTGAGAATGCAAAGACAAAACTCAGACCCTGCTTTAGCACTCACTGTCGAGTAGTAGACAACTTTTGCGCTGGTAGTATATCAACAATGATAATTGCTTAATGCTTTTACGTTTATTAAAGCTCCATGCTTCTACTTATTTTCTTGTATCCTTGTAAGTAGCCATCCGCTTTTTAACAGAAAAAACAAGACACAAGCAAATTGAAAGAGGAGGGTCTGGCCAGAGTCTGAGGACTCAATTTTCCAAGCCATTTCCATCACTTTTTCTTTAATGTTGATAATTAGTATTACTTTTTTGTGCTGAGACTTGAGCATTTAAAAGCTGTACCATCTCTGATATTTCAGTGTTACCTGATCCCAATAGCTGTTCTTTAGTGGAGTGTATTATGCTTATGCATACAAAATTTACCCAATATTGTCATTAAGCCAACTCTCAAATAGTGTAACTTTTAAAGACTGAAAGAAATTGCCTGCTTATGCCATGTTATGGGTTGTATTCATTGTGCAAGTTCTTTTGCCAACACATTCGTTAATTTTAGGGATCAGAATTATCCTTAAATCTGACTTCCACCAACTAATATACGCATTTGATAACATCTGTAGAAGGAAGATGAATGACCAGTAGAAAAATAGGGAGATGAAGAAAAGAGATATCTCTGGCAGGGAGTGATAAAGTCCCCAGAAGGCCGTCTCTGTCCCGTGTTGTCCAGCTTTGGTGTACAGGTACTGCATGAAAGGATTTTGCCTCTTCTTATTCCTGTTCTCTGCTTATTGCCATAGATCTTTCCCCTACATTCACAGCCAAACTTTTTGAAAATGTTGTGCGTATTTACCTCACCTCCCAACCCTCAGTCCACTTGAAACTAGCTTCTGTCCCTATTCCTTCTCACTACGTTCGTCTCCACTTTGGCAAATCCATTGAATTTTTCCGATAGCATTCTATTTGGTGTCTCTGCAGCAGTTGATACTGTTGCCCATTCCCGTCTGGAAACACTCTTTGGCTTTTGGATGCCACAGTCTCCTGGTTTTCTTCCTTTCTTTTTGGTCATCTCTCATTCTTTGCAAGCTTGTCTTCTACCTCACTGTCTGTTCTTCAGGGGTTGGTTCATCTTCTCTCTTCACTTGGTATTCTCTTCTTAGATAATCTCATCTCAGAACATGACTTTAGGGACTGTCAGTAAACTCATGAAACCCATGCTTAGGTGATTTCTAAGCTGCAGACCAAGTCACTGTCTCTATGGATGTTTCAAGGAGCTTAAACTCAGCATGTCCAATATTAAACACTGTGTAATCCCCTCCACCTCTAAGACGTTAAGCAAACACCTTGACCTCTTCCATTGTTCTCTGTCTTAGGGAATGGTACCATCATCTATCCAGTGGTGCAAGCCGTGCCTCTCTCCCTCATTGCCCCTATATGTCGTCTATCACTGAGTCTTACCACCTAAACATTTCTTAAATCTGTCCACTCTTCTCCATCTCCACTGTCATCACCTTAGTCTAGGCCAAAGTTTCTCAACTGTGGCATTATTGATATTTGGGGCCAGATAATTCTTTCTTCTGGGGGTGTCCTGTACATTGTAGGATTTTTAGCAATGTCCCCAGCCTTCACCTACTAAATGCCAGTGGTACTGCACTAGTTCTGTCAACCAAAAGTGTCTCCAGACATTGCCAATTGACACCTGGGGGGCAGAATCAACCCCCACCCATTTGAGAATCACTAGTTTAGGGTGTTATCACTTTCTATTTGAACTACTTAGATATACTTCTTAATAGTCTCTCTGCATCTATTCTGACTGCCCTGTGGCCCAATCGGCATGCTGTGGTCAAAGGCATCTTTTCGAAACACAAATATGAATTGCCAAAAGCTGGAATCAGTCTAAATGTCCTTCATCAGATAATTGGGTGAACAAACTGTGGTACATCTATAAGATGGAATATTATTCAGCAATAAAAAAGAACCAACCATTGATACATCCTACAACTTGGGTGGATCTCAAGACCATTATGCTGAGTGAAAAAAGCCAATCTCAAAATGTTATATTCTGTGTGATTCTATTTATGTAACATTCAGGAAATGAGAAAATGACAGGGAACAGGTCGTTGCCAGGGCTTATGGTTGCTGGGAGGGTGTGACAAAGGAGCAGCATGAGGGAGTTTCTTTGGGGTGAGCAACAGTTCTGTATCCTGACTGTGGTGGTGGCTACATGAGTCTGTGCAGATGATGAAACTTCATAGAACTACACACACACACACACACACACACACACACGTGAATGTAAAAACAGGCGAAATCCAAATAAGGTCTATAGATTAGTTATTTACTATACCAGTGTTAATTTCCTGGGTTTGATCATTGTAAGATGCTATTTTTGGGAGAAGCTGGGTTTAGGTTACCCATGAACTCTGTTCTATTTTTGCATCTTCTTGTGAATCTAAAATTTCCTCAAAAAAGTTAAAACAAAATACAAATATGTCACCCCCAGCTTGAATGCCCTACATTACTTTCTCTTCTTAAAAAAACCCAACTCTTTAACCTGGCTTATACGGCTCAATATGGTCTGGGCTCCTGCCTGTGTCTCCAGTCCTCCTCCTTCTTTTCTGCTCCTTGCCACATGGGTTTTCTTGAATGTTTCTTTTTCCCTCTACCTTGCAGGGCCTTTATACTCCCTATATATTCACTTTTTCTTGGAATCTGCCCTTCTTGTCTCCTTTCCCCTGCCTAATTCTGATCATCCCTCACATCTCAGCTTATATGTGACTTCTTTGGGGAAGCCTTTCCTGACCTCCAAGTCGAAATCATATTCCTGTCAAACAGAACTGTGTTCTTACCCTCAGAGCACATAACTGAGGCTACAGTCCATTGTACATTGGTATTATTATTTGACTGTCTCCTGTACTGGGCTGTAACTATCCTGATTGTTTTTGCTTACATTGTATTTCCAGAGGGAGTGGCACAGTGCTTGGCAAGCAGTTGACTTTCATTGAATATTTGTTAAATGAGTAAAAACTTCAAAAACAAATTTGGTATATTTAGCAGCTTTGATTTTATACTTGAGACAGGCTTGAAAATTTGTAATTTCTAAGGAAGTTTTTGCATATTTTATAATCCATTTTTATCTGTTAGGACATTGCTGTCTAGTAGCATTTTTGCTACAGTTATCTTTTCTAAAACCTGAGACATATCATTTAGCCATTACTGGGTATGTTTTAGAATGTAAACCAGGGAAACTGGGAATCGAGCACATTAAAAATTTTTTTTAGTGTTAACAGGATTAGCACACATACCATGCTTTTTTATTTTTTATTTTTTTGAGGAAAATTGGCCCTGAGCCTATCTTACTGCATACCCATCTTCCCTTGCCCGTCTTCCTCCCCTTTATATGTGGGACACCTACCACAGCATGGCTTGCTAAGCATTGCATAGGTCCGCACCTGGGATCTGAACTGGTGAACCCTGCGCCACTGAAGCAGAATGTGTGAACTTAACCGCTGCACCACTGGGTTGGCCCCCCACATACAGTGTTTTTTGGGGAGAGAGGAAGTGTTTCAAAAATACTTTAAATAATTTATTTTTATTTTGAATGTAATAGTGACTGGAATCTAGATATAAATCTAATGTATTCATGTGGCAGAAATTTACTATTTGAAATATATTGGGTAATTAATTATATTGTTAACATGAAATGATTTCCCAGTTATAAAGTATGTGCATGAAAATGTTACAGATTGTTTGCGTATTAAATATTCTCACAGACTGTTTTCTTAAGAATTTTGACAGACTCTTCATCTGGAAATATGTGGCATTACAAATAGTAAAAACAGATTCTCTTGAGGATTATTTTTTAAAATTATTTTCTATACAAGCTTTAAAAATATGCTTTTGATTACTCTAATATTTATTACATTTTTTTTTTTACAGTATACTGTAACTGAAGAAAAATGATGGAAGAGAGTGGAATAGAGACAACACCCCCTGGGACTCCTCCGCCACATCCTGCCAGCCTGGCTGCAGCTGCACCGTCCTCCGCCCCAGCTCCTTTAGGTACATGGAGGTATCTAGCATCTAGTGTGTCTTGAGGATAGTGAAGATCCTCTTAGCTTTTCTCAGAGTCAATTGAAGGAAGAATGCACGTATTTAAACTTCTCTGATCTTTGCCAAGATGAAACTAGCCTTTTTTATTTAAGCCCAAAGACAGAAACACATATGGTTTGCTTTAGGTAAACTTTCATTCTTTATATTTATATTGACCATAAATCACCTTTCTTATGACAGAAATATCCTGAAAAGCATGGGTTAGCTTTTTGGAATGTTCTGTGACTTTGTGGTGATTAATCTTCTGACCAAAGCTTTTGAGCTTTCAGTGTGTAGGTTTTTATGCTCGTAACAGCAGGGATGAAAAACAGTTTTATTCTATTAAAAACATCAAACAAATGAAAACACAAAGATTTACTTATGAACAATACCATAATGTAATTTTAATTTTATATAGCTGTCTCTTTTACTTATGGGAGTTGAAAGTTATTTGCACTCAATTGTATTCGTTTCACATTTAAAAATAATTCTTAGGATATGGTCTGTTAAATTAAAAAAAAATTTGCAAGGAGAAGGTAATGAGATACTTTGAAAACGAAGTAAAAAGTTCCAATTTTGTGTTTTTCTCCTCCCCGCTTTTTTCCAGCTGCGACCAGTTCCTTTTCTTCTCCAGATGTGTCCTCTCTGCAGTCCCTGCCGCCACACGCCTACTCGACCCCCCAGCCGTCCCTGCCCCCTGTGAGGCCCTCAGCACCCATGCCTTTTGTGCCTCCCTCACCAGTTCCTTCGGTTCCAGCCCTTGTTACTTCTGTACCCCCTCCTGTGCCTCCACCACCTGCTGCTGCCTTCAGTACTCCTCCTCTGTCCCACTTCCCGCCTTCAACTTCTGCCCCGAGCGCTCTGTTATCTGCGCCCTCTTCTGGTCCTCCTACATCAGGATTTTCTGTGGGTTCAACTTACGACATCACGAGGGGACATGCAGGAAGAGCTCCCCAGACACCTCTGATGCCCTCGTTTTCTGCACCTCCTGTAACAGGTAATTCTCTCTTACTAATGCTTTGAAATAAATGGCTATAGCTAATGTTTTACTTTTTTTAGTAACAGCTTTGTTGAAATATAATTTCCATACAATTTACCCATTTTAAAGGTACAGTTCAGTAGTTGTTACTATAGTTACAGTGCTGTGCAGCCATTACCACAGTCAGTTTTAGAACCTTTTAATCACCCCAAAAAGAAACCCCATAACTGTGAGTAGTCACTGCCTTCCTCCTCCTAATCCTGGTGGCCCCAAGCAGCCACTAATCGACTTTCTGTCTCTCTGAATTTGCCTATTTTGGACATTGCATATAAATGGAATATTATGATATATGGTCTTTTGTAACTGGCTTCTTTCGCTTAGCGTAATGTTCTCAGGATTCATCCATGTTGTGGTATGTGTCAGTACTTCATTCCTTTTTATGGCTGAATAACATTCTACTGTATGGATATGCCACATTTTATTTATTCCATTCCTCAGTTGATGAACTTTTGGGTTGTTTCCGCTTTTGGCTATCATAAACACTGCTTTTATGAACATATGTCTACAAGTTTTTTTTTTTTTTTTTTTTGAGGAAGATTAACCCTGAGCTAACATCTGCCAATCCTCCTCTTTTTGCTGAGGAAGACTGGCCCTGAGCTAACATCTGTGCCCATCTTCCTCTACTTTATATGTGGGATGCCTAACACAGCATGGTGTGCTAAGCGGTGCCATGTCCACACCTGGGATCCGAACCGGCGAACCCCAGGCCGCCGAAGCGGAACATACACACTTAACTGCTGCGTCACCAGGCCGACCCCTGTGTACAAGTTTTGTGTGGACATATTTTCATTTCTCTTGGTATATATCTAGGCGTGGATTTGCTGACGTTTGAAAAACTGCCAGACTGTTTTCCGAAGCAGCTGCACCATTTTACTTTCTCACCAGCATTGTGTGAGGGTTCCAGTTTCTCTGCATTAATGTTTTACTTTTAACTCATTTCTTTGATTTCCAGAGTCTCCTATTCTCATGGTTTTGCCATTTAAATTATTAAAATAAAATTGATTAACTTAGTATATGATGTTTACATGTTGTAAAACTTAGTATATGATTAGTATATGGAGTGTCAGACAGCATTCCAAATTTTTGTCCTGACATTTTGCCGACTTACAGAAGAAACATCAAGATGAAGTCTGGGAGTTTTTTAAAGTTTTACTTAAAAAATTATCAGGACTGAGTGGTCCAGGGAGTAGTTTTATTTAGCCAGGTAAAAATTCAAAACCAAATGAAAGCTTATTTGTGCCATAAATTGGTGGTTTGGGGCCATTTCCTTTTCTAGCTCAGTTCCGCCTCCTGTTTGTCTTCCCTGGAATGGTTGGAGACCAATCAAAACTTCATCCCGTCGTCATCTGCCTATTGTTCTCCATTTTAGGAAAAGAAGCAACTTTGTTGTCAGTTTTATGATCTAACTTTGCTTGTCTACCTTTACAAATAAATTTTTTTGCTGAGTACCAGCATTATACCTTTATTTATGTATAAGTGAATTTTCTCTCTTGAGTTACAGTAGGGTATATAGAGTATGTGTGCTGATTGTTACATACTTTCATCTGATGGGTTTGGGTGCTCACTTTAGTTATTTTTATGCATTAAAGAGATTAGAACTATAGCTGTCCACATCCATATGCTAAATAGGGCAAACAGGAAGTAGTTTTCGATATGTATTTTTTGTCCATTTTCAGGACACTTAGTTTAAAAGGGAAAGAAATTTCTTTTTTGGAATTTTAATTTGTATTCTATAAAGGTTTAGGTCATTCTTTGAGTTCGTAACTCAATCTTGAAATGCCTGAGTATATAGTTACCTTATTAAAGCTGTTTTGAACTACTCATCTCATATGTGGTGTCTTCTTTTTATAGGAAATAGTTTATGGAGTAAATTACATATATTAAAAATTTTTGCTGTTAACTAGGTATTTTGCCAGCTCCCATTACTCAGCAAGCCAGTTTGACATCCCTGCCGCCGGGACCTGGAACCACATCAGCCATTACTTTTCCAGAGGAACAAGAAGATCCTAGAATTGGTAGAGGTCAGGATGAAGCATCTGCTGGTGGACTCTGGGGTTTTATTAAGGTAAATTGTATTTACTTTAAAAACCATGCTTAATGTTTTTGTTTGTTTGTTTGTTTTTTGGTGAGGAAGATTGGCCCTGAGCTAACATCCATTGCCAATCTTCCTCTTTTTGCTTGAGGAAGATTGTCTCTGAGTTAATATCTGTGCCAGTCTTTATCTATTTTGTATGTGGGATGCCACCACAGCGTGGCTTGATGAGCGGTGTGTAGGTCCTTGCCCAGGATCTGAACCATGAACCCTGGGCTGCTGAAGCAGAGCATGCAAACTTAACCATTACACCACCAGGCTGGCCCGCCATGCTTAATTTTTTAATTATAAAACTAATAGATATTCATTAGAATTTTGAAAATTCAAAATGGTATAAGGAAAAAATAAAAACACTTTTTATTCTTACTACCAGTTTTATGCAGTTCCTCTGAATCTTTTGTATGTGTATATCTATGTAGATGTACCTCTTTTAATAAAAATCAAATTGGGGTAATGACATGTGGACACTCTTTGTGTCTTTTGTTTGTCTTTACTTAGCATATATCATGAACATCTTCCCATCCATAAAATATTCTTCTGAACTTTTTTTCTTTATGGCTACTTTGGCCTATGTGCCCTTGCATTTATTTCCCGTATTTTATTTCACTAATCTGTTACTGGCATTTTCTAATTGTAATTCCTATCAATAAAACTATAGTGAACACTCCTTAGTGCAGATCTGCATGTGTATCTTTATCAGGGTTAATTCCTCGTGAATGGCAGACTGAATGTTTTAGAAACTCCTGATACATAATTGCTCTCCAGGCAGGTAATATCCGGATACACTGTCACAGCATTTTTCACCTACCAGCACTGATCATTGATTTGAAATACAATATTTTCTAATTTGATAGGCAGAAAAAATAATACCTTGTTTTAATTTGCATTTCTCTGTTACTGAATTTGAACACTTTTTCATGTGATTTTTGGTCATTTGTATTTCTCTTCTGTGAAGTCTCTATTCATGTTCTTTGCCTGGTTTTGAATTAGGATGATTTTCTTCTCTTAATGAATTTGTAAGAGCTCTTAATGTAGTAAGAATATTTTATTATGTGCTGTCCTGTGGTGCAGTTTTCTCCATTTTTAGCTTACATTTTTAGTTTTATTATGCTTTTTTGACACAAAAGCTTGTAAATTTTCAGGAGTCATCTCTATCAGTCTTTTTTCTTTTCAATTTTTTTAATGATAAAAATGACTTTTTCCATCTTAATATATGGTAAATGTTTCTGTGATTTCTTCTGATTCTTTTATGGTTTTATTGTTTTACATTTCCATTTAATAGGGCTGATACTTACTTTATTGTATTATATTAAGCAGAAGTCAGACTTAATTTTCTTCCAGCCATTTAATGGATTCTTCCAACATCATAGCCCAGTGATTTGATACATCACCATTATCTTAATTACGAAATTGTGTGTTAATGTCAGTTTCTGGGCTCTATAATCTGCTTCACTGCTCTCCCTGTCCTTACAGTAGTACCACACTATTTTAATTATTGTAACTCTGTTTATTTATTATACTAATATTTATTGAAAACCTACTCTGTGGTGAGGTGCGGATGGAGAGTATTCATTGGTGAATAAAATAGAAAGGTCATTTCCCAGTCTCTGTGTTCATAAAGATCTATCAGTATTTGTTTTTTAGTAAGTTTGCTGATTTTTATTCAAAAGTTTTCTTTACTAGTCTTTTCCATTTATTTTTCTTAATGAATTTTGGAATCACTCTGTCAAGTGCCCCCCAGTATTCTGCTTGAAGGTTTCGCTGCACTTTAATTATATGCTAAACTTATTTTTAAATTGATAGGTGGTTAACTGATTACAGTATTTGAGCTACTTACTTCAGAAAAATGGCATTTTTCTAAGCTTGCTTTTTTATATCCCTCTGTACTTTTTTAAGGTTTTCTTTTTTTTTTTCCTTCCCAAAGCCCCAGTACATAGTTGTATATCCTAGTTGTAAGTCATTCTAGTTCTTCTGTGTGGAACGCTGCCACAGCATGGCTTGATGAGCAGTGCATAGGTCCACGCTCAGGACCCATACCAGTGAACCTTGGGCTGCCAAAGCAGAACGCACAAACCCGACCACTCAGCCTCAGGACTGGCCCCTAGGGTTTTCTTTATATAGGGACTTTCTCATCTTTTCCTTGTTAAGAGCATGTGCCAATGTGTCAGTTACCAGTTGTAATACCCAGTTCAACTCTGCAGGTCTTGTAAATAACTCTTCTAATATTCAGTATAGATTGGTCAACAGTCTTAAATATCAGTGTTATGGACTCATCTTTTTTCTGAATCACCTTAGTTTAATGGCAGGTTGGAAGAGGTGGAATCACGGCCTGTTAGCCAGACACCATCTCAGGAGGCCCTGCTCTGTCTCTTTTATCATGGGAGAAGTGTAGCATAGGAAGGAAATACTCAGACCTGGTGCCTTCTGTTTAATACTGCGGTTTTAAGAATTCAGGGGAATAAATTTAGCTTAAAAGGGAGAATTTGGGAATAAACAAAACAAATAGGAAGTAGGAAAAAAAGAAGAAACTTTAGTAAAACATAGCAGAATATTAAGGTATAAGTAACTTCTGAGGAATAAAGATGACAGATGTTTTTACTGTGTTTATTTTTTAATTAGGGAACAACGTGTAGGTTTATAGAGACATCTGATTAAAGTCTTTATTTGGGACTTAGATGGACAAGTTTTGCCTAGTCTTTTATATAAATAAATAAATAGAAATAAAATGTACGTATACATAGAAATAAAATATATACACACACATATGTATACATGGTATACATACTTTCCAGGCCATTGCCACTCAAAGGGTAGTCTCCAGACTTCCGTGGGTCTGTGATGAGTTAAGAGAAATTGAGAGTAAACATTTTGGAACTTAATAGCAATTTGACATTTCCATAACCTCATTTTTCTTATATTTTACAAAAGTACGGGTCTGCAATGCATTGGACACTTTAAAAATATTTTCTCTTAGGGCTGGCCCTGTGGCCGAGTGGTTAAATTCACTCACTCTGCTTCTATGGCCCAGGGTTTCGCCAGTTTGGATCCTGGGTACAGACATGGCACTGCTCATCAGGCCATGCGGTGTCCCACATAGCACAACCAGAAGGACCTGCAACTAGAATATACAAGTGTATACTAGGGGGTTTTGGGAAGAAGAAGAAGAAGAAAAGAAAGAAGAAGATTGGCAACAGATGTTAGCTCAGGTGCCAAAAAAAAAATTTTCTTTCATCATCTGGTGATCCTGGTGTTCTTTTCTTAGAATGGGTATTTATATGTTAATTTGTCTTTTGTAGGGTGTGGCCGGGAATCCGATGGTAAAGTCTGTGCTTGATAAAACCAAACATTCAGTAGAAAGCATGATTACAACGCTGGACCCTGGCATGGCTCCATATATCAGTATGTACTGAAGATAGAGCAGCATCTGCCGTATGTTTTTAAAGTGTGTGCTCATGTCGGCCACTAATTGTAATTCCACAGGCCTTGTAATTGGTGGAAATCCTCTTGTATTCTTACCTTGATTGTCAATCTTTGTTTTGGTATTGTTAATTCATCTTTTTCTTAGTCACTATTAAATAAATTTTTTTTAAGATTTTATTTTTTTCCTTTTTCTCCCCAAAGCCCCCCAGTACATAGTTGTATATTCTTTGTTGTGGGTCCTTCTAGTTGTGGCATGTGGGACACCGCCTCAGCGTGGTTTGATGAGCAGTGCCATGTCTGCACCCAGGATTCAAACCAACAAAACACTGGGCCGCCTGCAGCGGAGCATGCGAACTTAACCACTTGGCCACGGGGCCAGCCCCTAATATTTGTTTTTGACATTTCTTCAATTATCTATTTTAATTAAATGTGTTTATGCTTAACTCAGCAATATTTTAGGGGGAAGTTAATCTGTTTACTAATAATATCCAATTAATAGATTTGTTAGGAAAGCTATTTTAACTGCTTTTGAACCCTCATTACCACGAATCCTACAGATAGTTGACATAGACATGCTGTCTGCTGTTGAATAATTATGTATATATTTTTTTCTCTGAGGAAGATTTGCCCTGAGCTAACATCTGTGCCAATCTTCCTCTATTTTTTAGTATGTGGGCCTCCAGCACAGGATGGCCGCTAACAGAGCAATCTAGGTCTCCACCCAGGAACCAAACCCAGGCTGCTGAAGTGGAATGCACTGAACTTAACTACTAGGCCATGGGGCCAGCCCCTGCTGTTTAATTATTTTTTTTTAATTGAGTTAATGATAGGTTACAATCTTGTGTGATTTCAGTTGTACATTAATGTTTGTCATTCGTGTTGTAGGTGCACCATTTCACCCTTTCTGCCCATCCCCCACCCCACCTTTCCCCTGGTAGCCACTAATCTGTTCTCTTTGTCCACATTTTTAAATTCCTCATATGAGTGCAGTCATACGGAGATTATCCTTCTCTAACTGGCTTATTTCACTTAACATAATTCCCTCAAGGTCCATCCATGTTGTTGCAAATGGGATGATTTTGTTCTGTTTTGCTGCTGAGTAGTATTCCATTGTATGTATATACCACAACTTCTTTATCCATTCATCTGTTGATGGGCACTTAGGTTGCTTCCATGTCTTGGCTATTGTAAATAATGCTGCAATGAACATTGGGGTGCGTAGGACTTTTGGAATTGGTGACTTCAAGCTCTTTGGATAGATACCCAGTAGTGGAATCCAGCCCCTGCTGTTTAATTTTTAATGTACATATCCAATATGTGAAAAAACGTAATTCCTTAGCAGAATCAGTGACCAATTATTAGTAATTCTGTTGAAGATAACAATTTACAGGCCAAAGCTGTGCACCAGGTACCTGAACAGAGATTTTCAGAAGCAAAAAGAGTCAATAGCTTTCACAAGTCTTGACTGTATTGGTAATGTACTGTCTAGTAAATGCCGAAGGACAGGACCTAGTGGTGATAAGTACCGTTTATTAAATGCTTGCTCTGCCAGGCACTAATTCTCATAAGAACTCCTCAAGGTAGGTATGATTTTCCTCAAGTCTTAGATGAGGAACCTGTGTTGAGAGATACTTGATTCTCAGTCACACAGCTGGTGGAGCTAGATTGAACCCATGTTCAACTTTGTTACTCTTAGCCACTTTGTTTCCCTTAAACTAGAAAATCAAATCAAGAGTTAAATCAGCTGAATTTTCTTTGTGTTTGTAACTGCCAAAGGATTTAGAAATTGGACCCTATTGATGCGGGGTCGGTGAGCCGAGGAGTCGAAAGAAAGATTTCTTAGACTCTTAAGATCTGGCCGTAGTGCTCTTTTATTTAGAGAATAGAATAGCATGGGGACAGGACCCATGGGTAGTCAGGCTGCTGCGTGGGGACAGGGCCCACGGGCAGGAGGAGCCACTGCTGCTGCCGCTTCTGCTGCAAAGTGGGGTGGAGAGTAAGGCTAAATTTAAGGCATAGGTATGTGAGTTATCTCTTTACAAGACAAAAAAAAAGTTAAAATGGTACCAGTGCCGGTAGGGCCCGGCCATTGGGCAGTCCCACAACTTTTAGATAAGAATCAAACCGGATTGAGTAAATGGCAGAAGTCACCGCTTAAATATTATCCTCAGCTAAACACACAAACACAAGAGGATTTTGGCCGGGGTGGGGGGGGTCAGTTACATGAGGTTGCCAGACAGTAAACAACTTAAGTTCTTGCCTTCCCCGTTAAGAGTTTTCATAGATGAGGCCATCCCCACTTCCTCCTGGCCCAGAGAGGGAGGCATGGAGATTTCCTTCACAAATGCAACTGTCTCTCATCAAAGGGCGAGCAAATTCCACTCCTCGGAGCCTGCTTCTCATCTGCGGTTTTAAAATTAACGAGCCTAAAATCCTCATCACTATGATATGTATTGATTTCATATATTCATAATAATCGCTTGACATAATTAACGCATCTTATATATATATTTTGTTCACAAACTTGTATTTTCAATGAGAGAAAGAAAGGAATTAGTGTTTTTGGAGCTCTTGCTGTTTTAGTGGCTACCGTGTTAGACTGTGAAAGCAATTATCTTATTTAATCCTTAGAGCAACCCTGTGAGGGGGCAGGGATTTTCCTATGAAGAAACACTCAGTGACCTCCTCAAGGTAAGGAAGCTAGTAAATGATCAAGTCAGGACTCAAACCCAAGACTGTTCCTCAGGCCAGTAGTCTGTGTGACATTAAGAAAAAGGGAAAAAGGGAAAAAGCAAGGAGGGAGGGAAAGAAAGATACAAATGAACTTTCTCTTATTAGCAAATACCATAACTGATGATAACATATAATCGTAATCAGTTAGCTATAAAAAGCAATAAAACTGAGTGTGAAAAAGCTGTCACTTTATTGACAGGCAGCAAAAGACCATTCTGATCTAAGAAAACTCAAAACAACAATGTTTTTGTACTAATATTCTAGAAATCACTATAACAATTTCAAATGTATCAAGAAAGCAGAACTATGAGAAATGGATTTTAACACAGTTTGACTTTCTATATTCTTTTAATTAGTTCTCCCTTCATTGTCATGAAAGGCAGCACCATTCACCACAGAAAGGCTGAACAGCTTTTGAGCTGAAGCTTAATGAGAGCAGCCCTTAGTTAGGGTCAAGACACATGTGCCACATGGAGAAAAAAGTGTGTTCTTCCTCTTTTCCCCTATGTGACCCATTGGTTTTAGGTTTTAGTAACTTAGGAAATTCCAGTAAAGATGAGATCCGTGACATATTATTGTCACTCAGGAAAAAAAAGATCCATGATAAAAAGCCCAAATATTTGGAAAATATTCTCAGCTATTCCATGAGATATTTATTAGGGAAAAGCATACCATTGTTTCTGGGGCAAAATATTTTACAATACAAACAGCTTTCTTGAGAAATCTCTTTTACCAGTGATAGCCGTTAATGCCAAGTAGCAAAACGTGCTGTGCTTGGAACCAGCGTATTGAATTCAGTATATCACATGTTAGCTTAAGATTTGAAAAAGTAATTAGGCATATTTTTCAGATTACTCTGTCTAAACAGTAGACAGGTTTTTAAAATAATTAATTGAAATATTTGAAATGTTTTAAAATACTTTTTTTTTTATTGCTCTTAGTCTTTTTCTTTTCTTTTTTTTTTAAAGATTTTATTTTTTCCTTTTTCTCCCCAAAGCCCCCCGGTACATAGTTGTGTATTCTTCGTTGTGGGTTCTTCTAGTTGTGTCATGTGGGATGCTGCCTCAGCGTGGTCTGATGAGCAGTGCCATGTCCGCGCCCAGGATTCGAACTAACGAAACACTGGGCCGCCTGCAGCGGAGCGTGCGAACTTAACCACTCGGCCACGGGGCCAGCCCCGCTCTTAGTCTTTTTAAATTTCAAGTTTTATATATGTTGGTATTTCAGTTTTCATAAATGCTTGCATATTTGTATAAGGGAAGTAATAGATGTATAATTTATAAATAAATATCCATTTATTTGTGGTAAATGCTCTTTTTTTTAAAAAGATGGCGATGTATAATAAAAAGGTTTGGTCCTACATTTAAACTGTTTTCTGGATAAGAAGCACATGTCATGGTAGTCCTTGTTGAGTACAGAACTTCTGTGCAACTCATTGACCAATTAATTATCGGTAACAGTCTTCATTTTCATTTTCTGTAAATAGAATATCCTAAATGTGTAACTTATACTTCATAAGTCAGATATTTAATTTCTATGATACATCTATAGATGAAAGACTGGAAACTGTAACATCCACGTGATGTTAGAAGTCTGTGTATAATAGATGTTTGTCTTTATTAACCAACAGGAGAAAAGCCATTTTGATTTGTACCATTAAAAATGCAATAAATGTGTCTGTCCAAGTTTAAACTAATCAGAAAATGGAACTTGGCTAAATTTAATAGAGCGGTATAGTAGAAAAATAAACTTTTCATAAGTGTTATCATTTCCAAAATTAGTATCTGGAATACTTTTTGGGAGCTATTATTAGATGCTAAAAAAGTATTCCATGAACAGATTAAGTATGGAAAGTACTGGGTTAAAGTCATAATTTTTAACTGTTGGATTTCTCAGAATCTTTATGTTAATTTGCATTGTGCAACAAAGAAATGTGGTGTGCAGTATCTCCCACACTTATTTGACCACAGCATGGTATATCCTAGAATGGTATTTCATAGAATGCAGAAAAATGTAGTGTTCATTTGTGGCAGATACGCTATTTAGAACCATTAGAAGGTATGTACCATCTTCTGCTTGTGAATAAGACTTCCTCAGATAATGCACTAAATTCTCATTTTCAAAACTCAGGAAAAGTTGGTAGTTCAGGGCTAAGCACTTTTTGGAATAAGATGCTGTGAGATTAGAGGGTGAAAATGTGCCTGGTTGTATCACATGGTGTGAAAAGAGCATTTCAGAGCCTGGCAGACCTGGGTTGAGTCCTGACATCATCACTAAGTAGTTATGTTACCTCGGGCAAGACGTTATCAGCCTCAGTTTCCTCAGTCAGTAAAAAAGTTAATCTATGTCTTGCATCGTTTTAGGTTAGTAATAATTATGTAGTGATGTGAGGTTAGTAATAAAATATTAGCATATCTTAGTGATTATGAGAGTTTCATTACTTTAATTTGGAATTTGCTTCTGGTCTTTGTAGGATCTGGAGGTGAACTGGATATTGTAGTGACCTCAAATAAAGAAGTAAAAGTTGCTGCCGTCCGAGATGCCTTCCAGGAGGTCTTTGGCTTAGCTGTGGTTATAGGGGAAGCTGGACAGTCCAATATTGCCCCACAACCAGTGGGCTATGCAGCTGGATTAAAAGTGAGTAACAGAGCCCCTTTTTCAGGATATAGAAACTGGAAGTTAGTTTTTTTTATAATTCTGATAATAATCTTTTGGTCTGTATGGAGCTAATGGGTTTTTACATCCTGACATATTGAGCAGCTTGGTTTTTAATTAGACAACTCTGTAGTGTTAGGAAGATATAGTGGAGTTTTAAAGAAACCTAAGATAGGTTTTGATTATTGGGGGAGGGGAGGAAACATGCAGAGAGCACAAAAAAAGAGTAATTCGTCCTAAAAGAGATCTTCTTAACCCAGTGTTAACGTTTGAATCAATTACTTAAGTTATAATGTCCCTTGAATCCCATAAGCTTTTTATTACTATCACTATTAATACTACTTTACAGTTATGTATTTCTTCATGGTTTATGGAACTCTCCTATATTGGGAAGTTTCCGGAGTGGTAATGGGGTTCTAGTAAGCAGGTTCTGAATTGACCCTGCAAGTCTTCCTTTTCCCTTGTACTTGGTGAGGGGATGCAGCCCTCAGTGGAAAAGCTTCTCTTAGCTCGCTTTTTCTGATTCTTCCCCTTCCCTGTCCTTTTAACTCCTTTGCCTTAAAGACCCGACTACCTGGCACCTTATAGGCACTTGTATGCCTATATATAATGAGTTTGCCAAGGTCTCACCAGCATGTAGAGACCTATGAAATCTTATTACCAGTAATAACCCACTTATCAAAAGGAAGACACTGGCTTAGTTTTTCCATAGTGAAGGAATAGGATCTTGTGATTGAATCCATGCATAATCCCTATGTAATAGGGGCCGATGGTAGAATGACTTATTTTGAAGAGAAATTTTACACAGTTGCATACTCAAACCACTACTTGAACGTTATATACTTTGTCTTCTGGCCTGTTACCGTCACAGAACTTGTCATACATCTACATAAAGCCACTTCCATTACCAGTGTACAGGATCTGGTCCCCTCTAGCCTACTCAGTGTTAGAGTTCCAAGAATTCTGCCCGCTCTCTTATACATTTTTTACCATCAGCATACAGACATGCAAACATCTCTCCCACCTTAAAAAACAAAAATAAACCAAAGAAAACCTTAAATTTTGTGACCTCAGTTCCCCCATCACCTACCAGGTTAGTTTTTTGCTTCCTTTTACAGCGAAACTCTTCCAGAGAGTTGCCAACACTTTATCTCCAATTCTTCCCGGCATATTCTCTTAAACCTACCCCGGTCAGGTGCTCACCCCACCACTCCACTAAGAATGCTGTCAAGGTTACCAGTGTTCTCCATCTTATTTGACTTTTCAGTGGCTTTTGAGACAGTTGACCATTCACTCTTCTATAATGTTTCTTCACTTGACTTCCCAGATACCAGACTTTTGCTTTTTCCCTGCCTCGCTAATTGCTCGCTCCTCTGTGCTGCCTTTGCTGGTTCCTCCTTTTCTCCCCAACCTCCTGATGGTCTCTTTATCTACATTTACTCCCTTCTTCATCTCATACTGTCCCATGGCTTTAAACACCATCTGTGTGCTGACAGTTTCACATTTGGGTCTCCAGCAGAGACCTCTCATGTAAACTTGATTTATAGAAAAGTTGCTTTTTTGACACCTTTACTTGAATGTCTCAAACTTAATATGTCTTGTACTCAACTTCTTTTCTTTCCTCCCACCCTGCTCCCCCCAGCCTTCTCCATCTCAATTGATGGCAGCTCTATCCTTCCATTTTCTCAGGTGAGAAACCTTGGAGCCATCCTTGACTTCTCTTGTTACCCATATCCAATGCGTCTAGAAATCTTGTTCGCTCTACCTTCACAATATACCCAGCATCTGACTACTTTTCACTGTCCCCACTGCTGCTTCCTTGGTTGGAGCACCACAGTGTCTTGCTGGAATCTTGCAGTCACCTCCCAATGGGTCATCCATCTTCTGCACTTTCTTTGCCCTGTAGGTTGTTCTCAACAGAGGAGCCAGGATAATCCTTTCAAAACATAGGCTAGACCATGTCAGTCTTCTTTTCAAAACTTTTATTTCACTCAGTGTAAGACCCAGATTCCTTACAGAGGCCTCTACAGCCCCCCCCCCCCCCCCCCCCCCCCCATGATTTGGCTGATCTGGCCTTCTGTTTTTTTCTTTGGCTTCATCTCCTGCTGGTCTTCCCCCATGGTCACTCCATGCCAGCCATGTTGGCCTCCTTGCAGTTATTCATACTTGTATGGCATGCTGCTCTTTTCTTAGGGCCTTCTCAGTAGCTGGTTCCCCTTTCTCAGACACTCTTCCCTCAAATACCTACTTTATTGACTCCTTAACCTCCTCCAGGTCTCCTCTCAGATCTTCCCTCCGCAGTGAGGCCTCCTGTCCTGACTGCCCTGTTGAGGACAGCAGTCTGCGCCTGCACTACTCATCACACTTACCCTCCTCTGTTTTTTTTCCTACAGCACGCAGCACCTTCTGATACTATTTAATTTACTTCTATATTACTTTTTTAATACTTTATCCCAGTAGAATTAAGTTCCACAAGCACAGGGATCTTTGTTTTGTCCACAGCTGTGAACTTATATAATAGTGCTTAGAGTTCTTTAAAATGAATATCCAGCAGTCTCATCAAGATATCTTGGTATAGGGCTGGCCCTGTGGCCGAGTGGTTAAGTTTGCGCGCTCTGCTGCAGGCAGCCCAGTGTTTTGTTGGTTCGAATCCTGGGCACGGACATGGCACTGCTCATCAAACCACGCTGAGGCAGTGTCCCACATGCCACAACTAGAAGGACCCACAACGAAGAATATACAACTATGTACCGGGGGGCTTTGGGGAGAAAAAGGAAAAAAAAAAATCTTTAAAAAAAAAAAAGATATCTTGGTATAAAACCGCAAGCAACAGAATTCAAAATGCTTGGGTAAATCTTTTAAATCAATCCTTTATTTCCTCAAGTGAGTAGTCTAATCCAGAAGACATTTTCACTGTGGGATCTGTTTTGAATTTTGGGTTAACACTCAGTCAGAGAATAGAGATTTTTCTCTGAACAGAACTGCAGCTACCCCCCCCGTTGCTGTACCTTGATACAGTACCTTTACAGTCACATGGTGGTCTTCACACTGGTGTTTGAAGCACCTCTGCTGACACACAAAGATAGGAAAGGTCTGAGTAGACCCAAATAGTTTTCATTTCTACTTCCTCAACTTTGACATGGACTCTTTCCTGAAATTTTTCTGCCTGAATACACGCCTGTGATTGAAGCAGCATGCCGCTCTCCTTTTCCATGTCCCGCTAACAAGCCCTCTTCCCTCCCATTAGAAATAAAGACCTACCTCTCACCCACTGAGATGGGCCACATTGCCCCTACCTCTCACCCACTGAGATGGGCCACATTGCCCAGAACGTAGACGACTCCTGAATGTCGTGTGAAGGGACAATTCAGAATAGTGTTTTAGGTATTGAGAATGCAAATGACATAATGATTCGCTAAAATCCTTTTGCAGGTCATGTGGTTTCCAATTGTTTGTTCCCAACAGAACTGAAACAGGACCAGACAGAGCTGTCAGCAGATAGGGCATTCATAGTTTTTGATGATAGATCACCATGTGATTTTTAGAATATAACTCAAAATTACATGGTTTTTGAAACATGGGTCTTAAATATTTTGTAACGTTGAATATCATTACACAGACGATATCTAAAATTAGGATATTGAACTTGAAAGGCTGATAGAGATTTTTTCTGTAAAAAAACCCTTATGGATATTATTAGTAGTTAATTTATGTTGTGATTTTATTAGTATCTGCAGATTTATTTTTGTTATTGGTTTTTGCCCTTCAAGTTTAGACATATGGGCTCCTTTTCCACGATCTTCAGTACAAGCTTAAAATTAAAATTCATTGAAACTGATACTACGTACGTATAGGAAGTAATTTGCAAATTTTTCAGCTGCTTTTTTTCCCCAGAAACAGTAGGGGGAGCCAATGAGAAGAAAAATAATGTAGAATCCTAGAATATTAAAATTTAAACCCAATTTTTCCTCCCCATCAGATTTTATTTGAAGTGAATGCCTTTTTTGAATTAAAGGTGTCCATTAAACATATAAAACTGTTTAAGAAAATAAGTCAGCCGTTATTATAGTTAGAAAGTTTCTGAAGATTCTCATGCCAAGTATTAGAAAGCTAATCAGTTAGGACTATTGTTTTATAGCTTGTATTCAACAAAGGTGTAGTTAATAGCTATAAGCACTTATGAAGAAGCTTTGAATTTTGATTATCTGAACCAAGTTGCTTTGTATAAGCTCCTAGAGTACAGTATAAACACAGGGGGCCTTTCTGTATCTTACTTCAGTTCTGAGATGATTACTTCACTGTGGCCTCTAAACCGCCTAATTCTTGATCCCCTATATTGCTGAAAAATAAAGTTAAAATTCCATTCTCACAACATTAGTAGGGACTAATAATAAAGTGTATTTATGACTCCACAAGATGCCACGTTTAATTAATGTGGTCAGAGGAGAAGAGGCTGATGTAACCCCCTCTTCATTTCTCTTCTGGATTCCATAAACAAACAAAGAATTAAATTTGTCTGCCCAGCTTATTATCCTATCACTTATAGGAGCTAGTTAATTTCAATTTAATATTTTGTGAACCCAGTGAAGTATAAAGCCCTGTGCTGTAGGATGGTAAAAGATGAACAAACTTAGTTTTTGTTTCCTAGAAGCATAAAATCTAGGAGTATTTCATTGTAGCCGTAGCTAAGATACACCTTCGAAGAGGTGGGGATGAACCTGTGCTCGTCCCCCTCATCCCCTAGTAGCTTTTACTGGATTAACATTTATTTAAATTTCTTTATAATCAAAATTTAGCCATAACTACCTCTTGGGAGGAGTAAATTAGGCAAATTTAAATTTTCCAGTATAAAAAGTTAATTTTCTCTCTTAAATTTTTTTTCAAATGCAAGAGCTGCCTCCTCATTCCGTATTCCTGAATTTCGTGACATCGTGTTTACACCATTCAGATTCTTAACATTAGTGATATAGGGCTTCAGAAGCCGTTTATTTTTCCTTTGTTCAGTTTTTCATGTAGTAAGTCCTTACTGAATGCCTGTTAGATTAGACACTGTGCCAGGTACTGGAGATAGAAGAGTAAGTAAAAATACACAGTCTTGATTTTGTTGTGGTTTAAATCATATCTTCCTTCATCTTTAAAAGCTAATGTCGTAAATTTGTTTACCCATTCTCATACGGTTGTCACTTTCTCTTCTTTCAGATGTTTCTGAAATAAATTTATTCTGAGAAGTGTCCTAGCTTTCTTAATTTTCATTTGAATAAGACCTGACCGCTTAATCTCATTCACTACTTAGCTCTGCTGTCTGTAATAAAAACAGGTGTATTATCCACGGCTAGTTATTTTCAGAAATGGAGTTTTATCTTGGGTTTCGAATATATTCTCAGCACATCATTCACGATCACTGTTTATGAAGTGATTCAGATAAAAGTAGTAAATGGCAACCTTGCCCTCATTCATCCAGCTTGTAGTTTTCTGCTGTAAGATACATATTTAATTAATCTGTACAGTGTTCTCTGCCCCCCAATTTTGTTTCATAATAATTTTCCTGAATACGCTTTTGTGTAAAATATACATTTGCAGTTTAAAAAAAAATGAACTCGTTTGGTATGTGTTTTAGGGCTGTATTTAAAGGGGATCAGAAGAAGAGAAAAAACTTATTTACTATTGATATGATTGCCTGCCAAGAAAATTCGAGAGAGAATCAACTAAAAAACTACTAGGAATAATAGATTTTTATTCAGTAAGATGGCCTCTTGCCAGATCAACATAAAAAGTGCATAGTTTCCTTATATTAGTAATAACCAATTAGAACATGTAATATAAAAATAATCCATTTCACAGCAGCAACCAAAATAATAATGCATAGAGGAATAATTTGGCAGGTGCGCTGCAAACTGAATTCTGAGGGGAGCATGATTGGAATTTTCATATTTTGTTCTCTCTACTTTTGTTTTAATGTTTACAATGAGTTTGTGTTTGTGTATAAATGTATGCATCGATCACTTATGTAATTAGTGCATTTAATGCTGAATAATTTGAAATGGTTTCTAACCTACACTGTTGTTATTCAGGGCGCTCAGGAGCGGATAGATAGCTTGCGGCGAACTGGAGTGATCCATGAAAAGCAGACTGCTGTGTCTGTAGAAAACTTCATTGCAGAATTGCTACCCGACAAGTAAGAGGCTTTTTTTTTCCTAACGTAGTTACAATTTTTTTCTTGTAATAAGAACTTTGAAGATCTACTCTCTTAACTTTCAAATATACAATACAGTACTGTTAACTGTTGTCACCATGCTGTACGTTATATCCCCAGAGCTTATTTAATTTATAACTGGAAGTTTGTACCTTTTAACTCCCTTCATCCATTTTGCCCACCCCCCACCCCTCTGGCAACCACCAATCTGTTTATATCTAAGAGTTTGGTTTGTTTTTTTTTTTTTTAGATTCCACGTTTAAATGAGATCACACAGTATTTGTCTTTCCCTGGCTGACTTATTTCACTTAGCGTTATGCCTATCCATGATGTTGCAAGTGGCAAGATTTCTTTTTTTATAGCTGAAAAGTATTCGATTATATGTACAAAAGAATTTATATACATTGTATATATGTGTATGTTCTACCCTTTTTTTATCCGTTCATCATCAACAGACACTGAGGTTGCATCCATGTATTGGCTGTTGTAAATAATGCTGCAGTGAACACGGAGTGCATGTACCTTTTTGAGTTAGGCTTTTCATTTCTCTCAGATAAATGTCCAGAAGTGGAATTGCTGGATCATATAGTAGTTCTATTTTTAATGTTTGAGGACCGTCCATACTGTTTTCCATAGTGGCTGCACCAATCTACAATCCCACCAACAGTGCACAAGTGTTCCTTTCCCCCCCTGTCCTCATCAACATTTCTTCCTTTTCGATAATAGCCATTCTAGCAGGTGTCAGGTGATACCTTGTTGTGGTTTAGATTTGCATTTCCCTAATGATTAGTGATGTTGACTACTGACGGCCAACATGTACCTGTTGGCCGTCAGTATGTCTTCTTTGGAAAAATGTTCAGAGCCTCTGCCCATTTTTTAATCAGGTTTTTGGGGTTTTTTTGCTCTTGAGTTGTGTGGGTTCTTTATATATGTTGGATGTTAACTCTTTATCAGATATATGATTTGCAAATATCTCCCGTGCTGTGGGTTGCCTTTTCATTTTGTTGATGGTTTCCTTTGATGTGCACAAAGTTTTTAGTTTGATGGAGTCCCACTTGTTTATTTTTGCTTTTGTTGCCTTTGTTTTTGGTGTTGAATCTAAAAACTTGTCACCAAGACCCATGTCAAGCAGCTTACTGCCTGTTTTCTTCTAGGAGTTTTATGGTTTTACATATTATGTTCAAGAGTTTAATCTACTTTGAGTTAGATTTTGTGTATAGTGTAAGATGGTGGTCCAGTTTCATTCTTTTGCATGTGGCTGTCTAGTTTTCCCCACACCATTTATTAAAGAGACTGTCTTTTCCCCATTGTGTATTCTTGTCTCCTTTGTTGTAAATTAATTGACTGTATATGCGTTAGTTATTTCTGGGCTCTCTATTCTGTTCCATTGATCTGTATTTCTGTTTTTATGCCAACACCATACTGTTTTGATTACTGTAGCTTTGTAATATAGTTTAAAATCAGGGAGCCTCCAGCTTTGTTCTTCTTTCTCAAGTTTGCTTTGGCTTTTCTGGGTCTTGTGGTTCCATGCAAATTTTAGGATTGTTTGTCTTTGGAAACATCAGTGGGAAAAATGCCATTGGAATTTTGATAGGGATTGCATTGAATATGTAGATTGCTTTGGGTAGTATGGACATTTTTTACCCTTTTTTTTTTTTTTTGGAGTAAGATTAGCCCTGAGCTAACATCCTCCACCAGTCTTCCTCTGTTTTTGCTGAGGAAGATTGGCCCTGAGCTAACATCCATGGCCATCCTCCTCTATTTTGTATGTGGGACGCCTGCCACAGCATGGCTTGATAAGTGGTGTGTAGGTTCATCGCCCAGGATCCAAACCTGTGAACCCTGGGCCACCAAAGCGGAGTGCATGAAGTTAACTGCTGCACCACTGGGCAGGCCCTAGTATAGACATTTTTACAATATTAATTCTTCCAATTCATGAGCACAGAATATCTTTCCAATTATTTTTGTCGTCTTCAATTTCTTTCTTCAGTGTGTTAATAGTTTTCAGAGTGGAAATATTTCACCTTGTTGGTTAAATTTATTCCTAAGTATTTTATTCTTTTTGATGCAGTTGTAGATGGAACCGTTTTCTCAATTTCCTTCTGATAGTTTGTTGTTAGTTTATAGAAACGCAGCAGGTTTTTTTGTCTTGATTTTGTATCCTGCAACTTTGCTGAATTCGTTGATTAGTTCTAACAGTTTTTTGCTGGAGTCGTTAGGGTTTTCTATTATAATATGTCATCTGCAAATAGTGACAGTTTTACTTCTTCCTTTTCAATTTGGATACCTTTAATTTCTTTTTCTTGCCTAACTGCCTAAGATTTCCAATACCGCGTTGAATAAAAGTGGCGTCCTAATCTTGTTCCAGATCTTACAGGGAAAGCTTTTAGTGTTTTATTGTTGAGTATGATGTTAGCGCTGGACTTGTCGTATATGACCTTTATTGTGTTGAAGTGTATTCCCTCTATACCTACTTTGTTGAGAGTTTTTATCATAATGGATATTGAATTTTGTCAGATGCTTTTTCTGCATCTCTTGAGATGATCATATGATTTTTATCCTTCATTTTGTTAATGTGGTGTATCGTGTTGATTGATTTGCAGATGTTGAACCATCCCTGCGTCCCTGGAATAAATCCCACTTGATCATGGTGTATGATCCTTTTAGTGTATTGTTGAATTTGGTTTACTAATATTTTGTTAAGGATTTTTGCATATGTGTTCATCAAGGATATTGTCCTTTAATTTTCTTTTCTGTGGCATCCTTGTCTGGTTTTGGTATCAGAGTAATGCTGGCCTCGTAAAATGCATTTGGAAGTGTCCCACGTCTTCTGTTCCTTGAAAGAGTTTGAGAAGGATTGGTTAATTCTTCTTGAAATGTGTGGCAGAATTCACCAGTGAAGCCATCTGGTCCTGGACTTATGTTTGTTGGAAGATTTTAATTACTGAGCCAATCTCCTTACTAGTAATCAGCCTGTTCAGATTTTCTGTTTTTTCCTGATTCAGGCTTAGGTTGTATGTTTCTAGGAATTTATCCATTTCTTCTAGGTTGAGCAGTTGTCGGCATATAGTTATTCAGTAAGAAGCTTGTTGTGTTTCTCTTAGGAGCAAAATATAATTGGGTCTAGGGAGTTCACTCTGAATACCTAATAAAAAATGTATCCCATTTTAGAAGCAGAGAGAAAATTGTGTTCTGGTCCCATTTAACTGACTTTGTGACTGTGTAGCTCACATTTCTACCCTTGTTTCTCCTTTTTAATTAGAAAATGCAGGTAGTAACAGCTGTGTTCTAAGATTGTGTTAATAACCACTGAGTACAATAACACTAAATATAAGATGATACAATTGTAAATTGGCTTGGATGTAATTGACCACCAGTAACAAACACAATCATTTGCACAGTTATTCAGAGTAATGGAAGGTATGGGCGAGAGGGCCTGGTGGTAGTCACTATGTTTGAGTTCTTCTGGGCACTACCTCTCATCTATTTAGTTTGGAAATAACTTCCAGACAATATGATTCATCATTGTTTTTGAGGACATTGTACTTTTAATAAATGGTTTTATGGGAAAAAATTTTTTTAATGTGCTGGATTGATTTATATTGAAATAACTTTCCAATTGTTGAAATCTACCTTCTTTTGTAACCACATTGTGGTTTTGTTTTTCTTTTAATTTTTTGTTTATTTAGTTTTGAATAACACTGTGCCCAGTACTTTGTGGCTATAATATACAAAAAATGTTTTCCAACTTTAGGGGTATATTATAGGCCAATGGGGAGAGAAAATATATACACAGATGAACTATTTTAAATGATTGCATAAAAAGGCATGTCATTTTTTGCTGACAGTAAACATATACAATGTCAGTGGAGGTAACTGAGTGTGGAGGTGGTGTCAGATGAGATTGATGAGTAGTTGGGACTTGAACTGGATTTTGAAGAGTAGGTAAAATTTGGATAAGTGGAAAAGAATAGGTAGGACATCTGAGTGGAGGAAAAGTTTGAACATGATTTAAGATGTATTCTGGGGTCTGATTGTATCAGCTTGGCTGAACTTTTGTTGGATAGGAAATCAGGAAGTGATTTGGGGACAGATTGTGGAGAGCTTCAAATGCTAGGTTGAGAAGTTGAACTTTCTGTGTAAGCACCAAGTAACCATCCAATGATTCTTATTTCATTTTCTCCTCTATTAACCTTTTACTATTTAATGGTTACCTTAGAGATTACGTTGTACTTTCTTTGATGTATTACGTTACAATAAAAAGTATGACTTTTGATAATACTGGAACTGCTTTTAATACCATTCCCTACCGCCCCCACCTTTTACAATATTGTGGTCAAGTATCTTAATTCTGCATGTATTTACAACTCCTAAGATCTTACCAGTATTGTTCTGTGCAGTCAATATTCATTTATATTTACTCTCTGAATTCTGTCCTGCATGTTTTGTTTTTCCTTCTGCCTAAAGAGCTTCCTTTGGTACTACATTATAATGGAGGACCGTAGCTATGAATTCTCTCAGTTTTTGTTCATCTGAAAGCACTTTTAATTCACCTTGATTTTTGAAAGATATTTTTGCTGGATATAGAAGTCTAGGTTGGCATTTCTTTTCTTCTTCACTTTAAAGGTGTATTGTTTTCTGGCTTCCATCATTTGCATTAAGAATTAGCTATCCATCTTACTGTTTGTATGAAGATAATGTTTTCTCTGGCTGCGTTTAGGATTTTTTCTGTTATTTTATTTTTGCAGTACTGTGCTACACCTAGGTGTCTCTGTGTTTGCTCACTTTTATATTTAAATTTTTGTGGATTCACTGAGCTTGATTCTGTCTTTCATAGGGTTTATATTGTTCATCGATTTTGGAAAATTTGTGGCCATTGTATCTTCAGAATTTGCTTCTGGCCCGTCTTCTCTCCTTTCTCTTTTTGGGACTCTAATTACATGCTTGTGTACATTTTGACAGTGTTTTATGTTTCTCACATTGTCATCCCCGTCCCCATCCCCCACACTGGTTTTTCTTCCTCTCTTCTCCAGGTTGAGCGTTTTCTGTTCACGTCTTCAGGGTCAGTAATCTTGCTCTGCTGTGTGCAGTCTGCTGTTAAGCCTATACGTTGAGTTCTTACTTTAAAAAACAAAAGATTCAGTTTATCTATTGAATATCTAGACCTTTTCATCTGTTTTGACTATCTTTACCTCTTTTTTCTTGACTACATGAGTCCTAGTTATTTTAAAATCCTTGTCTACTAACTCCAGGGTGTTCATTTGTAGGTCTCCTTTAGCCTCCTATTGGTGAGATGATATGGTGCCCTCTCTTTGAATGGCCAGTAAACTTCGGAAGCTAGACATTGTTGATGAGAAACTCTCAGTCTTCAGGTGAACTGAGAAGGTTCACCCTTTCCTCTAATGAACGGAGTTGTGGGGTGTGTGGAAATGGATAGTGTGGTGTACTTTAGTCACAGACTGAGCTGAGTCGGGGCTGGGTTGCACTCAGGGTCAGCTGGAGGTCTTCAGCTCATCTTTGAAAGGTTCTCCCTGTCCAGAATGTTATTCCTTTCTGTCTTACTTGCTCTTACAGCTCTTTGATGCCTTTGGATATGTGACTTGTATAACTCATCCAGCTTCTCATTGGGAGTATTGGCCTCTATCATAAATGGCTCCGTCATACCTGGAAACTAGGCTAGTTTTCCTACCAAGTACCTTTTGAGCAGAAGAGTAGCATATTGGGAAGATTAGGAATAGTAAATGGTATTAGGAAGTCTGTTGATGGTTTCTAGTATGGATTAAGAAGGAGAGAAGATGCAAAGGTTGTGATAGTAAGACACAGAAGGAGGAGAGAGGGAGGACATGAGAATAGACAGCAAACCCAGAATCCAAAGCACTTGATAGTTCCTGCTTTGGCTAATTATCTCTGCGATGTTACTGTGGGAAATAATGTACAGAAGATAAAGTCAAGGAAATGTATACTTATAATTGAGACTAAAAAAGACCAATTCAGGAAGAGCAAGTCAGCTGAAAGAAGAAATCCCAAATGTGTTTAGCCCCTAGCATTGTAGAGCCAGTATAGACCTAACTGTCTGTGATGAAGTTTGCATCAGTTCATGCTACATGAGAAAAATTAACATAATGTATACCATACATGGAAAAATGCCAGTGTAAATATGGACCATCCTTATTCAGAGATTAACCTATCAAGTTTTAAAATCTTGGGTTATGTGTTAAATGTGCTAAAATGTCTTTAAAATGTCCTTTCTGGGGCCGGCCCAGTCGTGTAGTGGTTAATAAGTTTCGTGCTCTGTTTTGATACCCTGGGGTTCGCAGGTTCAGATCCCGGGTGCGGACTTACACACTGCTCATCAAGCCATGCTATGGTGGCGTCCCACATACGAAATAGAGGAAGATTGGCACAGATGTTAGCTCAGCAACAGTCTTCCTCAAGCAAAAAGAGGAGGATTGGCAACAGATGTTAGCTCAGGGCCAATCTTCCTCTCACACACACAAAAATGTCCTTTCTTCTGTGAATTGACTAGTGTTAGTAGATGGTCTATCTTTGTTAAAATACAAATTGACATACCTACATCACTTCCCGAGATTCTATTTTGAAATTTTTTCAGCTGCATGAAATCTCAATGTCTTGGAAACCACACTTCTTCTTATGCCTTTTTTTAAGTTAAAGTGGTTTCCACATAGGATTGGTCAAGTCCGTGAAGTGACTGTCCTTGAACATGGTCATTGGGTATTACCATTCTTCCTCCACGCTGGGGTGGGGAGTGGAGATGGAGTTGAAAGACAGTAAGAAGGAGAGGGAGAAAAACTGAGAGTTTACTCAGCCAGCTGGTGAAAGAAATGGAAGAGGTTTTGGTGGACATGACAGTGATTGCAGTTTTAGATACTGAGTTGAAGAGAATGGGGTATACAGGTTGATGTGTTTGGGAGCATGATAGTATTTTAGGGAACAAAGGTGATCCTGGAGTTCTAATGTGTATTCACTGGTGTCTCAGAAGAGACTTTTCTCTCAGCTTCAGTGAGCCTGCTTTTCAGGATGTCCACGACTGTCAGCATAGTCACTACAATTACGCCCTGCCACCTGCATTATACACAAATCATGCAAAATACAGTATTGATTAGTATACCAAATACAATGAATATTATTTAATGTTCTTAATTTGAAACAGAGTCTTAGGATATGAATACTACAGACATTACAAACTGCCGTTTTAATACTCAGCAGAGTTATTCTATATTTTACTTTGCTGTTTCTTTGAATAGGTATAAGAGTTTCCTAATGCATTTTGTATTTCATCACACTTTATTAGATCTACATGTTTAAAAAAAATAGACTGAACATTTTCTTGCTCCATATCCTCTTGTTATTTAAATTCATAGTTTCAGGGCATCTGGTTTCATGGTTCTGGTTAGATAAAATGCTAATGGTCTTACAGATGATTTCACTTAAGTCAGTTTTAAAATGTATCACTTTTTATAATTTATAAGTATCTTTAAATGGACGAAAGTTTTCTTGATTTCACGAAGCTGTTCTCAAAGACTGATTCATTGTAAATAGTTCTGGAAACGTGACTAGAAGGATTTATCAGGAATGAGGAGAGGATTATTTCCTGTGAGTGAGCTTATTTTTTAATTTGCTAATAACTTTGCTACTTCGCTACATATTAATGATAGAGATGGCAATATAAAAATTCCCGTATTTTAGCAACTGACATTTTAAGAATATTACTCATGACAGACTGTTTGCATGTTTAAATGGACGGGTCGATCTGCTGCATGTTTGAGTTCTCCTATTCCCGTTCTTACGCCCCATCTTAGCATTTCTTGCTAAGGAACTTTACATGGTAATTTTCAGTTATTTTTTTGTTATTCTCCATTCTTTTTCTCCTCTTGGAATTAAGCCCACAGGAAAATTTTAGCTACTGCTTTTATGGATTGTCCTCTTGAAAATTGATTAGGAGGACATTTCCTTTTTGAAATCTGCCAGTGTTTTATCTGAATGATAGTACTTGTTTTTTGCTTTGTTTTGTTGTTTTCTCTATTCACTATAACTTTTATTGCACACACAAACAATTTGAGACTCATATATTCTCTTTCAGGTGGTTTGACATTGGTTGTTTGATAGTTGAAGATCCCGTCCATGGCATTCATCTAGAAACGTTTACTCAGGCCACGCCAGTGCCTCTGGAGTGTGTACAACAGGTCAGCTTCTCCTTCTCTTTTTCTTTCTGCTCCAGAGAAATGTGCAATATTGTTTTCAAAATAAAAATTTGTGTCAGATTGTTCATTGGAAATCTGATAAATTCTTGATTTTGCTTCACCCTTTTCCCTTTTAGCCTTTTCTCTTTGCTTTTCAATTCCCTATTCCTTCCAGCTTGTTTTAGTACCTCCCCACTTTGCTTGTCTAGCTGTCTTTGAAAAGGTGATACATTATATGGTTAATCACTATTTCCCTCATTTTTTTCTTTGTTTTTATGGTTGTGTTGACTACCCTAAGATCTTCTGCTGGTTTTACGTTCGCCTTTCATTTACGTTCCATTTTATCTCACATTTTATTCTTCTGATGCATCCGTTTCCTTTTTCTTTGTTTCGATCTTCCTCTTTAAGTTTGTTCATCTTTAGTGACAAGTAGAAACCTATGTAGCAAAAAGTTCAGAAACTTTAGATCAAAGGTCCATGTCTTTAGGTTTGTTGAAAAATGTAACTAATAGTTTACCTATCCACAGAGTTTCCACAAGAATGTAAGCATGAATGTATAATGATTTGATTCCCTCTATATTTTTGTTACCTTGAATCCTTTCTTGAACAAAATGGAATGTAAATATATATGCATTGTAATCTTGGTACTCTTACATGGTATTTTGTTGACTTTTTTCTGTCCTCTGTTTCATGACATTTACCACATTTGTACTTATATACATTGTTGAATGGGATTTCAAAACTGTCTCTTAAAGTTATTTGTGACTTTAGGCATTTGAGAATCTGATAAAGCTTTTGGGTTTTCTCCCAAGAAAATACGTGTATACAAGCACATAAATTTGGCATATATGTTCATAGAATCTGTGGAAGCAACCTCTGGCCCTCTTTTAGGGCTTTACAGTTTTGATGGGAACTAAGAATTTTTTTTCCCCTCCCCAAAGCCTCAGTACATAGTTGTATATCCTAGTTGTAGGTCATTCTAGTTCCTCTACGTGGGATGCCGCCACAGCATGGCTTGATGAGCGAGGTGTAGGTCTGCATCCAGGATCTAAACCTGTGAACCCCGGGCCGCTGAAGCATAGTGCACCAACTTAACCACTTGGCCATGGGGCTGGCCGGGACTAAGAATTGATGCTTGGAATTTTGAAATTTTATTGAATCTTGTAGTTATACCATAGTTTTTATCATAATTTCTTTTCAGAAGTTGAAGAAAACATTTTTCAGATGGTGACATTAAATCACCTTTGTATTGGAGAGAGTTTAAAGATTGTAAGCAAATACTGTGCATACTTATATGCCAGTCAAGAATGAGTATTAGGTTGAACTATACAAAATTGCTGTCTTTGAAGTCAAAAACAGTCAAATATTGGCAGTTTCATATGATTCAACCTAATTACCTCAATGAAGCGTTACCCTGGAAGAATTTCATCTAGCTCCAAAAATATCAGTGAGTTCTATTGGTGTTATAAATGAAGTCTACAAAGTATTCAAAGAACATAATTCTCATACTCTATAGAGTATCAAAAATAGAGGTAGAAAGTTTGCCATTTCATTCTGTGAGACTAGCCTGTCACCTAACATCACAAAAATTATAATACAGTGTCACTTAAGAACTAAATGTCAGAATCATTGGTAAACTTAATAAATAAAATTCTGAAGTGTATTAGAACATTAAAAAAGGTTCTGGAACCAATTCCAGTAGGGAGGGTTTCTCCCCACGCCACCAAGCACTTCTTCAATACCAGCTGGGGTCATACAAGTCAACTCAGTTCTGACACTATCTACCCAGAGATAGTGTCAGATCTCATGGAGTTAAGGGCTCAGTTTCACAAGACTGCCCCCCCCCCACCACTACAGACACTAATTGCAAGTCCAGGTTGTTACTGTACACTTCTGACGAACTGGCTATAAATTAGATTCCCATGACCCTCTCCTTGGATTCAGTTAATTTGCTAGAGCAGCTCGTAGAACTCAGGAAACCTACTTACTCACTAGATCACAGGTTTATTGTAAAAGACTATAACTGAGGAACAGCCAGGTGGAAGAGCTGCATAGTGCAAGGTCTGGGGAGAGGGTGTGGATTTTCCATGCCCTCTCCAAACTCACCACTCTCCCCAAATCTATATATGTGCACCAACCCAAAAGCTCTCCACCAAGTGTGTCCTTGTGGGTTTTTATGGAGGCTTCATTACATAGGCATGAGTGATTGAATCATTGGCAGTTGGTGATTGGTTCAACCTCCAGCCTCTCTCTGGAGTTGGGGGGCTGTGGGAGGAACTGAAAGTTCCAACCTTCTCATCTTGGGGTTGGTTAGCGTGGCAAACAGCCCCATCTTTAAGTACCTCAAAGCTTTTCTGAAGACATGTCATTAACATAACAAAGACACCTTTATTGCTCTTATCACTTAGGAAATTCCAAGGATTTTAGGTGCTGTGTCCTGGAAACTGAGGTCGAAGACCAAATACGTATTTCTTATTATAAATCACAATATCACAATCCATTCCCTGGTATTCAAACACGCATCCTTTATAGCAAAACAATCATAAAGGTCAAAAGATGTTGGCACATTACTAGAATCCCATTCAGTCATTAATAACTAACCAGTCCATCATCATATCCTATGAAAGTGTCTCAGGGCTAGGCCACTCAAGTTTGCAGGCTTCCATTTGCTCTTGTCAGGTTCCAGAAGCAGAGTGGTGTAACACGCAATGTATGGCTTCACCCTTTCAGGCATCTGGTATATTCAGGCTAAGAGACATCATCTCTTGCTCTGAGCCTCTTGTAGTTTTACTGTAATAATCCATTTCCTTCATTACATAACCATTTATTCATTCCTTTACCCATAGTTACTATTTTTCTTTTTCTTCATTTATACCCAAACTTCTCCACCTTTGGATGGGACGTTAGGTTGAGCCGCTGTGCTGGTCTAGATTGCAGGCAGCAACACTAGTCCAGCAAGTGCCTCCCCTTCCATTCTCTTCTATTCAGATAAGGTAAGGTTGCATGGGTACAGAGCTAGTGGGCTATCTTTACCAGCCGCAATATAGCCACATTCACTGTGAGCCCCAATTTTGCCAAATGGAGTGAAGGCACATCCTGCCCCATAGGCCCTTAGGAATTTTAACATGAAGGTTAAAAACCTAGTTAGAGTTTCTTGCTTAGGAATCATCGCTGTTTCCTGCACTTGTATTTGCAACTCTGGTCATATGCCCACTACATCAGATAGGGGAAAATCAGAAGTCATTACACCAGCGTCCTAGTGTCCTCCTCCCTTGGCAAGAATTGCATAGTCATACCCCCATCCTCCCCAACCCCTTCTTCCCCAGATCCACCAGAAAAGACACGAATTTATCCAGTGCAGGTGCTCCTTTAGTCCCACTCATATAGAGTGTGAACACACACTCCTGAGGAGGATATCTCTCTGCCCGTTGTTGGACATGGGCTGCACAGTGTCTTCCTTGCTCTGAAGAAATAATGCTCAGCTGTCCAAATTGGTGTACTGTCTTCTGTTCCGGTTCTTTTATAGCTCTCTGAGCATTTGCATCTACCACTGGCTAAGAAAAGTCCAGTCTGGAGTCAGTGTCTAGTCCTGTCAAGACCCATTTGTAGCTCCCTGGTGTTACCAGCGTCAGTCTCCCTTGTCAACTATGTTCACGGCCCTCCCATCAGGGAATCTGCCACATAGCCATTTGCAGTCTCTCTCTATTGGCAGACAGTTCTTATTGGCATTTTGGGCCTCAGAGGGTGCAAAAGGAATATGTCTAGATTCAGCCCATCTCTGCACTCTGCAGTACTTCCAGGTTCACTCATTGCATGGACCCAGGTGGCCATCCAAAGGAGCACATGGGGATATCTGCTTGTCAGTTCCAATCACCTTCCAGACCTGGAAGGGAGTTCTTCTGATGGGCATCACCATGTCCTACTTTAATGCATCTCAAATTCTCATAGTGATTTTCACAGGGCTCTGCCCCATATGGGCATCTTTTTAATAAGCCAGGTTTCCATTGCCGTCCTGCCTTATTATGTAGCCAGGCCATTGGCCATTACCATGAGTCAATGAAAAACGACACATGAGGGATTTTCCCACTGTTTAATTCCTTCATCGCTACTGGGAAAACAGCATGTAGTTCAGCCTACTGGGCTGATTTGTTTTTACCTTCTTCAGTCGGAGTGGTCACCTTCCAAATAAGATGTCCGTTCACCATGGAACTGTTATCCATACACCAAGCAGCTCTTTGTTGTTCAGTTGAGAGCTGTTCATAGGACACTGTCCACGTGGCAGTCTGTTCCAACAGCTCCTCACGTGGCTCTAAAGTCAGTCCGAGGGGAGAAAAGGCTCCCTGCTCCTGAGTACTTCCTCCTTCCTTGCATTCCCCAAGGTGCGTGATCCTGTGTAAATCGTTTCCGTATTATTAAGGAGCTCCTCTGGGCACTCCCATCCCCATTAGGGCATTTTCCAACATCATCCTAGACATGTTGGGTATTTCATGTTTCAAGGTCATTTTATGTCCTTCAGTCACAGGAATAACTTCAGTTAATAGTGTGTGATAACTAGGTAGTAAATGTCCCTCAAATGGGAATTCTCTGATCCAAGGTCCCAGTAGTCATCACTGGGAGGTAGTCAGATTTTTCCGTAAGCCTCAGTCTGTGCTCCACATGGGGCTATGGCACAGAGAATTTGTCCCTACCAGCTAGCACCCCAGCTTCTATTCCACACTCAGTGGGCTCAGGCAATCTTACTGGTTCCAATTTAGCGTGTCAAGTTAGTAATGCTTGAAGGGCAGAATTACATCCCTTCTGTTCTGCAATACTAGGTAGGGGAAATGTTCCTCAATAAGATAGAGTGTCCATCCCCCAAATACAACCAGGTATAAAAAAACAACCACTTCACCTAAACCTTGTTCAGATGTTGCACTTCTCCAAGCTTTTACTGTAATTCCATCAACTCTTATGTTCCTAACTGTAGCCTCCGTTAGGACTTCATCTGCAGGTTTTGGGTTTAC